CAGGAACCCAGCGGGAGTTTCACTCTTGGAGTTTGCCAGAGCAAGTGATATGGTGGTTGCTAACTCTTGTTTCCCAAAACGAGACGTTCATTTGGCTACATTTGTTAGTGGAGTGGGGACGACTCAGATCGACTATCTTCTCCTGCGCAGGTGTGATCGGGTGCTCTGCAAGGATGCTAAAGTAGTCCCGAGTGAAAACATCACTACCCAACACAAGCTTCTGGTGATGGATGTCAGGATTAGATGGGTGAAACATAGGAGAGCTTCGAGTGGCAACACACAAATCCGGTGGAGGAGACTAAGTGGGGAAAATATCTCTGAGTTGATCAGGCGAGTGCAGGAGAAAGGTGCGTGGGAATCGGACGGAGAGGCTACAGATATGTGGACCCGGACTGCTAACTGCATCAGGGAAACAGCCAGGGAAGTGTTAGGTGTGAGCTCTGGCTCTGGGAGTAGGCGTCAGGGTGATTGGTGGTGGAGCGATTCAGTCCAAAGTAAGGTGGAAGCTAAGAAGGTGGCATATTTGAGGTACATGGGCTGCAATGTTGAGGAAGAAAGAACGGCGTTACGAGTGGAGTACAAGAAGGCACGTAAAGGAGCCAAGTTAGAGGTTACGAGGGCAAAGATTGCCGCTTTTGAACGCCTCTACAAGGATATTGAGGAGAAAGGCAGTGTTAATACACTGTTCCGACTTGCTAAGGTGCGTGAGAGGAAGGCCCGAGATCTGGACCACGTGAGATGTATGAAGGGGAGCGATGGTAGAGTGTTAGTTGAGACTGCCAAAGTGGCTAAGCACTGGGGGGAGTACTTTTGTGAACTCTTAAATGCGGGAGGAGACCAGAGGCTAGTTCTTGATGAGCTCGGGCAGTCCGGGGCGTCTCGGGTGTATTGTCGACGCATTTGCCTGGGAGAGGTGGTTCGGGCTCTCCGAGGGATGCGTAGTGGGAGAGCTTTGGGACCAGATGAGATTCCGGTGGAGTTTTGGAAGCATGCGGGCCGTGGTGCGTGGGTTTGGTTAACCAAACTCTTCAATGTTATCTTTCGGACAGCAAGGATGCCTGATGAGTGGAGGGAGAGTCTCTTGGTCCCCTTGTTTAAAGGTAAAGGTGACATTCAGAGCTG